TTTGCGTGGCAGCAAACTGCTGGACTATAGGTCTTTTCTAGGTACGATTGAACGATGCGAATTCGTCGGACGACGAGATTAAAATATGTGGTCGCGTATTGATTTGTTAGCATTAATTAGGACACTATAAAGAAATGTTTGTTTGATCTTATCGTGGGACGAAATCGCATCGTTCCTCTTAATAGCACAGTAGTAGTAATGTTTTCCTGTACGAATCGAACTTAAGAGTTTTGTACCTGTGTTTCAAAAGCGCGATTGATGACCATAAGCACAAAATAATATGGTTATGATTTTTGCTTTCTTTACAATTTTTATCGATATTTAAACCGGTTTTTTTTGTCGCGGAGAACCTAACGGGTAACCGGGGCTCCAGCTCGACGTGCAGGAGAAGGAACGGGGTGGTTTTTAGTCAGTAAGAGTCTGACACTCCCTCCCGCCTCACCCAGGCGGGAGCAGTCATTCGATGATGTCCCCCCTTAAAAAAATCGGTTTTTTAAACGTTGCCCAGCACTAACATTTCCTCCTGTATCGTAGGTGCGTTTACAAACATACAGTTCACATACACATGATACTCAGACCCGGAACAACGATTTGTGGAACACACAAAGACTTGCACCGTGCGGGAATCGAACCCGCGACCAGCGACCGCACTAACCGTGCTATCAGGACCATAATCGTGTGTTTAACAACAGAAAAAATAAAATCTCACTAATATCCGTCTATCCGTTCTCGGGTTACAAACTCATTAACTGCCATGAGTTGTTTTGAATACATAATTTCATAATTGTGGGAGAGCCATGCTTCGGCACGAATGGGCCGGCTCGACCGGAGTGATACCACGGCCTCACAGAAAACCGACGTGAAGCAACGCTTGCATTCCATCAGGTGATCCGTCTGCTCGTTTACTGGCTTATGCCATAAAAAAAAAAAAAAAAAAAAAACATAAGATTACATAAACAAACAACTAAGGTCCTTGACCCCGAGGTCAACGACCCTTCTAACTATGCAGTTCATCACGGTACATAAATTACGACATAATTATGTATACAGCTTGTTTAGCGAAAATGGGGTCTATTACAAATTGTTTAAAGATTAAAGCCGAATGGCCATAAATAATGTTTTCTGTAGGTTTTCCCAAGACGGTTGAAATTTATGTTAGACTGAAATCTTATACTAACATAATTATAAAGGTGAAAAGTTTGTTTGTTCTAACGCACTAATCTCCGCAACTACTGGTCCGAATCAAATAATTACTTTTATGCTGGATAGTTCATTTCTCGAGAAAGGCCATAGGATATAAAACCTCACGCCAAGATTAAGTAATAGGAGCCTAGCAGCGAAGGTGAATCCGCGTAGTAACTACTGTTATTATATATTTTTTTAATGAAATAGGAGGCAAACGAATAGACGTATCACCTGATGGTAAGCGATCAGCATCACCCATGGACACCCGCAACACCAGAGGAGTAACACTGTAACAGCTGCGTTGCCGGCTTTTTAGAAAGGAATACGTTCTTTTCTTGAAGGATTTTCTTTTTATTTAATATAACATCAAAGTATGTTTTCAAGGGGTAAGTCATGTCAAAGGTCTCATCATCACCATCAGTCCTTTTCGTCTATGAAAACCGACGTGAAACAACGCTAGCGTTGTGTTTCGTCGTATGACTGGTTTGCCCAATCTCCGAATTCTGAACAATCCTAAAATTCCTAATCCCCAAAAGGATGGCAACACACTTGTAACGCCTCTGGTGTTTTAGGTGTCTATAGGCGATGATGCCGATTGCTTACCATCAGGTGATCTGTATGCTCGGTTACCGGCTTATCCCATAAAAACATAATAACATATCCAAATATTTTAAATATCATTATATAACATAAATAGTGAAAAGTGGGTGTTACATTGTACAGTGGTATAATGTGCACCTCTGCCTACCCCTTCAGGGATCAAAGGCGTGATGTTATGTTGTTGTTATGTTATATTTTAAACTAATAAATGAAAACTACTCAAAATTGGTCAATTTAGTAAACAACACTAGATAAGTATTACAAAATGACAAAATAATTTCCTTTCCGACTGTACTTTATGTTAATGACCATGATTATATAATAAGAGAAAACTGGCCTCGTATTGGTCGCTTACATATAAGGTTCTGTAGGCACCAAAAACCAAATGCATACTTAAAGTTAAAGTGTTTTTTTGAAGGGGCAAATATCATCCAACGACTTCATGGACTGCCTCGTTGGCCGAGTGGTCGCAAGTGCGACTGCGAATTTTTAAAAAAATTAAAAACCGCCCCGTTTCTACTTCCACTTCGAGCTGGAGCCCTGGCCACCCGTTGAGTCATCCGCAGTTCCTGATTGGGCATCAGCCCTACTGGGCTCTATCTTCATAGACGGGGCTGATACATTCTTAAGAGAGGATTTGACATATTCACCACGTTTAGTGATCCGTTTGGGTCGATCAAAGTTACTTCTTTTAGTCTCGTAATAGACTCACTCTCGTAGTAGACTCTAGAGAACACTGCTACTTATATCTTGATACGATCTCCGGCCACCGTAAGCGCGGGCCTACGGATGGCAAGCATGGGTGGCGCCGCCCGACCAGAACCAGATCCGACCGTACTGAGCGTCGCGTTCCGGACGCGCCTCAAAGAGCTATCAGACCACCACGGATGGGGCCCAATAAGGCTGATGCCGATACGGAGCCGCGGAGAACTTAACGGGTTACCGGGGCTCCGGCTCGAAGTGCAGGAGTAGGAACGGGGTGGTTTTTAGTCAGTAAGAGTCCTACACTCCCTCCCGCCTCACTCAGGCGGGAGACGTAATGCGATGATTTTTCCCCCTTAAAAAAAACCCATATCTTGATAGCTGATCCAAGATTTTGGACCTACCTTTTTAACATAGCCTGAAGTGTCAAAAATACGGAACTCCAATTAGGTAATAATTTAAGGTTAATCACTATAGATCATTGACTGTCATTATCAATAATGATTATAATGATTTGTTTAAGTTTCCGTGTCATTACGTGTAGTCAAAACTTAAGTAGTAAATTACTACAATTATTGAAATTATTAATAATCTAATGTTGTGGTGGCCCGGAGGTTTAAGACGCCCACTTCTCATGCATGAGGGTGCGGGTTCGAAACCTACCAACGGCAAGTACCAATGTGACTTCTTCCGAGTTATATGTACTTTCTAAGATTGTCTAGACACCACTGACAAACGGTGAAGGAAAAACATCGTGAGGAAACCTGGACTTATAATTTCTAATTATAAGTTTGAAATCGCCAACCCGCATTGAGCAAGCGTGGTGATTAACGCTCTAACCTTCTCCGTGTGAGAAGAGGCTTTGCTCAGCAGTGGGCATTTATAGGCTGTTGATGATGATGATTGAAATTATGTCCAAAAATGTAAGACACATACATGAAGAAAATCACATTTGTTATCATTAACTTAGTACGCAAATATGTGTTGGGTGATCCGCACGGCTGACTATTAAGTCAGCCATGCAGATCAGAACCATTAGGTTGGATGACTGCTGGACAGCTGCTTACAACGAGTCGCCGATTTGATTCCCGTGCCGGCCAAAATGTGATAATGGCATTTTATGAGTCAAAAATAGCTCGAAGTCAGAAAGGCATTATTTTTTAGAGTTGATCGAGCGGCTGCATCGAGACTTACCTAATTCTTTATACGGAATGTTTTGGTTGGATTTTGAAAGTTGCAGAATAGTCTAGGCGATCTGCAATTAAGGTTTCTGCGAAAATTTTGCTATGGGTATTATCCGGTGATTGTCTAGTTTTGGTCGAACGGTTGTGAGCGTGTCGTATTTTGACAATTATTTTTGTATCTTACAACTTTCAAAACTATTTCGGCAAGAATTTGAGATGGTGATTCGTGGTTGCGTGAAAATATGCGTGTTTGAACTGTCAAACACCGCGAGGACACCAGTGACCGCAACCTATTGTTCTTTAATTGTGTCTATAATGACGGTACTCAAAGGGTAACTACATGAAGGTGTTTTGATAAATATTGGAAAGCCATATGTCCGGCAGTGGACAGAAGCGGTAAAAATGACGACGATGTCATTTTTTAACTGGAAGCCTTAACAGCTGGAGCCTTAGCCTCCTTTAACCCTTTGGGTACAGTCATTTTAGACACAATTAAAGAACAATAGGTTGCGGTCACCGGTGTTCTCGCGGTGTTTGACAGTTTGAAGAAAAGTGTGACATTAAGTGTAATGACATTTCAGTCCAAATTCTACTTACAAC